TACCAGCAACATGGAAGAGAGAGAGAGAACATGGAAGAGAGAGAGAGATACCAGCAACATGGAAGAGAGAGAGAGAGAGAGATACCAGCAACATGGAAGAGAGAGAGAGATACCAGCAACATGGAAGAGAGAGAGAGAGAGAGAGAGATACCAGCAACATGGAAGAGAGAGAGAGATACCAGCAACATGGAAGAGAGAGAGAGAGATACCAGCAACATGGAAGAGAGAGAGAGAGATACCAGCAACATGGAAGAGAGAGAGAGAGAGAGATACCAGCAACATGGAAGAGAGAGAGAGATACCAGCAACATGGAAGAGAGAGAGAGAGATACCAGCAACATGGAAGAGAGAGAGAGAGAGAGAGAGAGATACCAGCAACATGGAAGAGAGAGAGAGATACCAGCAACATGGAAGAGAGAGAGAGATACCAGCAACATGGAAGAGAGAGATACCAGCAACATGGAAGAGAGAGATACCAGCAACATGGAAGAGAGAGAGAGAGAGAGAGAGAGAGAGATACCAGCAACATGGAAGAGAGAGAGATACCGATAACTAGCAAGACAATAAAGCCAAAAGAGCTGTAGCTCCAAAGGTCTGCTCCAGCTCTTTGATTTCTGCCGCACCTTTGGAGGACCTCATCTGCATAATGGCCACAGTTACGTGGACGAGGAACTCCATAGTGGAGGCGGGGAGGAGCGTTGAGAGCGCGGCCTAGATTATCACACACACAGATGAAGTGCCTCTCATGGCTTGCTGCCGCCACAATGAACAGAGGCAAATGTTTTCTCTTGTAATTCAATTAGAGGAGTTAGCGGAGTGGGAAGTGAGGGATGGTTGTGGCGGAGCTGTGAGAGCCTCTTGCTGGCCGCCGTCAAACACTCTCGCATGCAGATAAGGCGAGGTTCAGGTCGGTGCGAAGCCGCAGCATCCTCATATGCCTCGCCTCACTCTTTGACCGTCTGAGATCGCCAATCCATCCCGCTGATGGCCGGGGATTGTGTTGCGATGATGGAAACACACCTGCAATATTCACTCACTCATTGACTCACTCACTCACTCACTCACTCACTCACTCTCTATCTCACGCAACAAAGAAGATGATTCAGTGTCAAAGTTTGGGTCATATCTCGCTGTTGCCACAGATGGTGTTGCATGAATGGTGTTGCTTAGTGTTGGCTGGAGGCTGCTACAAGGTGGCCAGGCGGGCGAGGGCTTGTGCAACACGGCAACACCACCTGGAGAGAGGCAGGTCCACCTAGACGGCCTAGAGCAGGTCAGACAGGCCGACTTACCTGCTACAGGTGAAATGTTGACTTACCTGCTACAGGTGAAATGTTGACTTACCTGCTACAGGTGAAATGTTGACTTACCTGCTACAGGTGAAATGTTGACTTACCTGCTACAGGTGAAATGTTGACTTACCTGCTACAGGTGGAAGGCTGACTTACCTGCTACAGGTGGAAGACTGACTTACCTGCTACAGGTGAAAGGCTGACTTACCTGCTACAGGTGGAAGACTGACTTACCTGCTACAGGTGGAAGACTGACTTACCTGCTACAGGTGGAAGACTGACTTACCTGCTACAGGTGGAAGACTGACTTACCTGCTACAGGTGGAAGACTGACTTACCTGCTACAGGTGGAAGACTGACTTACCTGCTACAGGGGAAAGACTGACTTACCTGTTCACCTGACTTACCTAACTGAGAAGTATTCACCCAGCAGTAATATTCCTTAATTACTGCTGGGTGAACAGGGGCGAACACTTGTTAATTGAACAAATCCACAAGGGCCGTGACGAGGATTCGAACCTGCGTCCGGGAGCATCCCAGACACTGCCTTAATCGACTTGTTGATTGGTTCCCAGTCAATCCTCCTCGGGTTCTGTAACGAGGCAAGTGAGTGTATCATATGTGCCGTGTTTTGTGTGTATTTACTATTTGTGCCTTCAGGATTTAGCTCTTGGACCCCGCCTTTCTAACCGTCGGTTGCCTAATGAAGTGACTCCCGACCTAGTTTTCTTCTAACTTATCTACTAAATATCTCTCCCACGCCCCTAGGAAGCAGCCCGCAGCAGCTGTCTAACTCCCAGGTACCTATTTACTGCTAGGTGCACATGGGCATCAGATGAAAGAAACTTTGCCCATGTATATCTCAACCAGGAATCGAACCCAGGCTCTTAGGACTACGACTTCAGAGCGCTGTCCACTTGGTTGTGTGTGTGTGTACTTACCTAGTTGTACTCACCTAGTTGTGCTTGCGGGGGTTGAGCTCTGGCTCTTTGGTCCCGCCTCTCAACCGTCAATCTGTGTGTACTCACCTAGTACTCACCTAGTTGTGTCTGCGTGTGCGTGTGTGTGTGTGTGTGTGTGTGTGTGTGTGTGTGTGTGTGTGTGTGTGTGTGTGTGTGTGTGTGTGTGTGTGTATGTGTGTGTGTGTGTGTGTGTGTGTATGTGTGTGTGTGTGTGCCCCCATTATGGTGAACAGAGGCCTGAGGAAACTCCTAAATTGTTTTTGTTGAGACCGGGATTCGAACATGGCTGCAAATCGAAGTCGTTCAACAACTGGTCTCTGAAACCTCTCTCTCTCTCTCTCTCTCTCTCTCTCTCTCTCTCTCTCTCTCTCTCTCTCTCTCTCTCTCTCTCTCTCTCTCACTCTCACTCTCTCTCTCTCACTCTCACATGTAAACTACAGAGGCTGCCAAACGCCACTCACACTGTAGACCGCAAACTCCACTTGGCATAATTGACGTATTCAGCCAAGACGGTCAAAATGGATTAAGAATTTGCATGAAATCTCTCAGCTTGTTATCGTGAATGACAATTACCTCAACACTGTACCGTTGGAGTGACCAATACCACCATTACCACACAACACGGAGTAGTAACAGTATGCTTGCTCCGCTGCCGGAGCAAGCAGTGGATCAAGCATGCTGTTACTACTCCTGCCTAAACTAACTATCCCTATGTGATAGTTTCAATGTACATTCTCATGAACTAAATGTGTCTCTAGGAGCAGCCTTTGGATGAGTTGAGGTAGAGAGAGAGAGAGAGAGAGAGAGAGAGAGAGAGAGAGAGAGAGAGAGAGAGAGAGAGAGAGAGAGAGAGAGAGAGAGAGAGAGAGAGAGAGAGAGAGAGAGAGAGAGAGAGACAGAGAGAGACAGAGAGAGAGAGAGAGAGACAGAGAGAGAGAGAGAGAGAGACAGACAGACAGACAGAGAGACAGAGAGTAGTAAGCAGACACAAAGACACAAGTCTGGGTGATCCACACTGCCACAGACACGACACAGCCACAGACACGACACAGCCACACACACGACACAGCCACAGATACGACACAGCCACAGACACGACACAGCCACAGACACGACACAGCCACAGACACGACACAGCCACAGATACGACACAGCCACAGATACGACACAGCCACAGACACGACACAGCCACAGACACGACACAGCCACAGACACGACACAGCCACAGACACGACACAGCCACAGACACGACACAGCCACAGACACGACACAGCCACAGACACGACCCTTACATATACATCCTAATAACAATTACAGGTCTTTTTCCGTGTACAATTTTTGCTGAGATTATCTTCCACTTGAGATCCTCTTGGTTCCTTCAGCGCATCTCTCTCTCCCGTCACCTCTGGACTCGTGTCTCCGAGTCAACAATATTCTCAGCTTTTACTTGGAGCTTAATACAGATCCTTCGATAGGACTCCATGTTCAGCCATTTGAGATTTTGTCTAGTAAGTCGCTACCTTGGTGTAGCCGAATAAATTTCTAAATTAGTGAATTTTCAACTGTTGCTTTCATGCTTTCCAGTGTCTATCTTCCTCCTTGCTTTACTTGGTAAGTCTGTCGTCATTATGTTATATTTGTCTACGATGTAAAAAGGATTTCGAATTTTAAAAGGGTCATAAAAAAGGATTTTATGGTCGCTATTATGAGGTTTATGCTCTCTGTCGCGCGATCAACTTTCAACAGAAGATCAGATCGTGAATCACAGACAGGTCTTCGTTCTCCTGTAGTGTTAGTGTATTTTCAGCTGTAGTGCAGCTGGTTGTTGTATTACTTGTTGTAGTGAATGTAGCAGTGCTAGAGTTGAACTAGATGGTAAACCTGTCAATGAGTCTGTGTTACAAGTATTATTTCCGTCAAGCTTACTGTCAGCTGCTGTGCGTCCTGTTGACAGGAGGACGGAGTGGCAGGAGCAAAAAAAAAATTCTGACGAGACCGAATAACTCTTTCTGACAGGAAAGACAGTTGTTCTCTGAGTAACACCTTGTTCAACAACATGACCTTTGACCTTCCACGACAGGTGTGTACGTCAGAACATGACGGATGACAGCATGTTAGATAAAGTTTATATTAAGTTAGATGAAGTTAGAAGCGTCCTTACTCAACTAACATCAACTAACGTCTTTAAGCAATAAATATACGTAGAGATACTTGTGAATTTGTGAATAAACTATCTGAAGGATATGTTTCTGTGGTTCTAAGATCATCTAGAAGAGTGAGCGACTTGTCACGGAGCGACACGTCAGCAGTTAGTCAGCACTACTAAACTATGGAGTGATGAAGGTGTCCTCAAGTGCACGAGAGGGTGTGAGGTAATTGCAGGGCTCCAGGTATGCCATTACCTCAGTCGGCAGGTTGAAGAGTAGTGATTAAACTCTATGGGATGAACACGCCATATTTCACTATAGCGCGCATGCCTCCTTGCCGATACCTTTCCTGGGTGTTGAGTTACACACACACACACACACACACACACACACACACACACACACACACACACACACACACACACACACACACACACACACACGCACACGCACGCACACACACACACACATTAGGAAGTAATGTGGTGGAGGCTGACTCCATACACAGTTTCAAGTGTAGATATGATAGAGCCAATAGGCTCAGGAACCTGTACACCAGTTGATTGACGGTTGAGAGGCGGGACCAAAGAGCCAAAGCTCAACCCCTGCAAGCACAGCTAGGTGAGTACAACTAGGTGAGTACACACACATATACACACACACACACACACTGACTCACCTGTACACATTTTAGCTCACCTGACACCTCAGCTCAGCTTTACTGACCCAACGCAGCTCACCTAACTCACTTCAGTTCATTCTAACTCACCTTGACTCACCTCACTCACCATCTCACCTCATCTCACTCATCACGGACACTCACTACTTCCACTATGGTACCTCACACTTCCCCCCCCCCCAGGAACCTCACTGATTGCCATCAGGTTAGGTTAGGTTAGGTTAGGGTCTCTCCTGATGTACGTCACTCGTGATTAAACATAACCCCCTAGGCCGCTGACAGGGAGTTAGCGACTCAAGCTTAAGCAGGGAGAGAGAGAGAGAGAGAGAGAGAGAGAGAGAGAGAGAGAGAGAGAGAGAGAGAGAGAGAGAGAGAGAGAGAGACACACAGAGACACAGACAAACAGACAGACAGACAGAGACAGAGGGACAAGCAGAAAAAGAGACAGAGAGATTAAGTGTGTGCAATTCAGCAGACACACACAGACAGACAAACATTCCGTCAGAGACAGAGATAGTAACACAGAGGGTCAGACAAGCAGAGAGTGGAGACACAGAGAGCCACAGTCAAGCAGTAACACAGAGGGTCAGACAAGCAGAGAGTGGAGGCACAGAGAGCCACAGTCAAGCAGTAACACAAACAAATAAATTTTTCCGTGAAGAATTGCCCCTAAAGATGTTGTTTAGCACAGAGGTTCCAAGAGTGTTATCGTGCAGGCATCAGACCAGTTTAGTGCCACGATAACAAGCTCATTGTGTCATCTTAAGGTGCGGGGGTGCTCTCACTCGTAGGTGACGTCACTTCTTGGGCACTCCCTACCTCTCTCTCTTGCTCCATGTACTCTTTTATCAACATGTGTTCATGCTTCTTCTCTCTCATTACCTTGCTCCCCTTCCTTCTCTCTCTGTCTCTCTCTCTCTCTGTCTCTGTCTCTCTCTGTCTGTCTCTTTGTCTCTCTCTCTCTCTGTCTCTGTCTCTGTCTCTCTCTCTGTCTCTCTGTCTCTCTGTCTCTCTCTCTCTCTCTCTCTCTCTCTCTCTCTCCTTCTCTCTCTCTCTCACTGTCTCACTCTCTCACAAGGTAATGGATGGCTCTCTAATGAACAGTAATGAGAGAGATGGCCGGTTAGTAATTAGGTTCGGTGTATGGGATTAATCAAATACTGGGCCGTAACCTATCATTTAGAAGTGGCTACTCACGAGGGAAGGGCCAGGAGGAATGGGAGGAGTGGAGATGGAAGGGGGATGGGAGGAGGGAAGAGTGCCAAGGAATGCACTCAAGTGTTAAGGAAGGATTGTTGAGGGTGAACACATGGGTCAGTGCATATAGGACTCTCCCACATGGGTCAGTGTATACAGGACACTCCCACATGGGTCAGTGTATACAGGACACTCCCACATGGGTCAGTGTACACAGAACACTCCCACATGGGTCAGAGTACACAGAACACTCCCACATGGGTCAGTGTCCACAGAACACTCCCACATGGGTCAGTGTCCAACACTCCCACATGGGTCAGAGTACACAGAACACTCCCACATGGGTCAGTGTCCACAGAACACTCCCACATGGGTCAGAGTACACAGAACACTCCCACATGGGTCAGTGTCCAGAACACTCCCATGGGTCAGAGTACACAGAACACTCCCACATGGGTCAGTGTACATCGAACACTCCCACATGGGTCAGAGTACACGGAACACTCCCACATGGGTCAGTGTACACAGAACACTCCCACATGGGTCAGTGCACACAGAACACTCCCACATGGGTCGGTGCACACGGAAGGTGTGACACACATGTGTGCACATATGAGTCTCTCAGACACACGAACAAAACAAGTAGAGAAAATAAGAAAAATATAAACACATTGTGGATATAAATATCTAAATATATATATAAATTACCACAGCTGTCACCCTCCACGGCTGTCAACCTCCACGGCTGTCACCCTCCACGGCTGTCAACCTCCACGGCTGTCACCCTCCACGGCTGTCACCCTCCACGGCTGTCAACCTCCACGGCTGTCACCCTCCACGGCTGTCAACCTCCACGGCTGTCACCCTCCACGGCTGTCAACCTCCACGGCTGTCACCCTCCACGGCTGTCAACCTCCACGGCTGTCACCCTCCACGGCTGTCAACCTCCACGGCTGTCAACCTCCACGGCTGTCACCCTCCACGGCTGTCACCCTCCACGGCTGTCAACCTCCACGGCTGTCACCCTCCACGGCTGTCACCCTCCACGGCTGTCAACCTCCACGGCTGTCACCCTCCACGGCTGTCACCCTCCACGGCTGTCAACCTCCACGGCTGTCACCCTCCCACGGCTGTCACCCTCCACGGCTGTCACCCTCCACGGCTGTCAACCTCCACGGCTGTCACCCTCCACGGCTGTCACCCTCCACGGCTGTCACCCTCCACGGCTGTCAACCTCCACGGCTGTCACCCTCCACGGCTGTCAACCTCCACGGCTGTCACCCTCCACGGCTGTCAACCTCCACGGCTGTCACCCTCCACGGCTGTCACCCTCCACGGCTGTCACCCTCCACGGCTGTCAACCTCCACGGCTGTCACCCTCCACGGCTGTCACCCTCCACGGCTGTCACCCTCCACGGCTGTCACCCTCCACGGCTGTCAAACTCCACCTCTACTGAATGCAAATTAGGCCTCTGTGAGAATACCCACGATGCTCCCTGGTTAATTTAGCAAAAAAGTCACAAATAGGCTAAAACTGCAATGCTTTCAGAATTGGACATCACGATTCGTAGTAAATATGTCAGTCAACCTGATCCGATACCTGATCAACCAGGCTGTGACTCATACGTCAGGCTGCGAGCAGCCGCGTCTAACAGCCTGGTTGATCAGTCCAGCAACCAGGAGGCCTGGTCGACGACCGGGCCGCGGGGACACTAAGCCCCGGAAGCACCTCAAGGTCTGAGGACAGAGGGAGCTGTGACATCCCCCACAACAGGGTAAAGACACAACCATTCGAACATTCGCCTACACAACCTCTCAGCGAAAGAGCTGTTCAAAATGAGGATCATGTTCGTACCAAGACGAGAAGGCCCATTCGTAGTTGACAACGCCAGCCACTATAGCATGCAGGACCAGCCCCACAGCACAAGGAGGACGTCACTTCAACATGAGGTCAGAAGAAACACCCACGACAGGAATTACCCGAGACCCAGACTACTGAGTGACCTCTTGTGTGGAGAGTCTGGCCTCCACCACCACCACTGTGGACTTGGTGTCCCATCAACTATATCTCAGTAATTAACACTCGGATTAGTCTCCGTGGTGTAGTGGTAAGACACTCGCCTGGCGTTCCGCGAGCGCTATGTCATGGGTTCGTATCCTGGCCGGGGAGGATTGACTGGGCGCAAATCCTTAACTGTAGCCTCTGTTTAACTCAACAGTAAAATGTGTACTTGGTTGTAACAAGGATTCTTCGCGGCGGGGATCGTATTCCAGGGACCTGCCCGAAACGCTACGCGTACTAGTGGCTCTACAAGAATGTAACAACTCTTGTATATATCTCAAAAAGATTGTAATATATGAGGTAATGTGTGACTGTAGCATTGTTCCCTTGTGTGAGGTGTGAGATGTGGACCTCCACTACCCCCCCAACCCGCTCTCGCACTTGCTTATAGTCAATATTGGGTTATTGAATAAGTGCATATGTGACACACTAATTGATTGTGAATATTTTAGTTTACCTTGAAAAGCTTCATAGAAAACACCGACCTTACCTAACCTTCTTAGTATGTTAAGATAAGCATCTTATTGCTTCGTAATTACAATTATTACTTAACCTATTATAGGTATAGGTTAAGTAATAATTGTAATTACGAAGCAATAAGATGCTTAACATACTAAGAAGGTTAGGTGAGGTCGGTGTTTTCTATGAAGCTTTTCAAGGTAAACTAAAATATTCACAATCAATTAGTGTGACTCGTCTGACTATTTCGATTTCCGTTAATCATCACTCGTTTTAGTCCTGATTGACCTAAATGTTTCGTTCTATTTCTTGATTGAATATTTCCGTCGTTGTAAATGTTTCTAAGAATTATTTATAGCGTGATCATGTCTCCTCGTTCCCGTCTCTTCTCTAATGAAGAGAGATGGAGCTGCCTCAGAGTTCTCCTGTATATCTGTCTGTCTCACTCCGTCCTGAGACCTCTAGTACATCTGTCTCACTCCGTCCTGAGACCTCTAGTACATCTGTCTCACTCCGTCCTGAGACCTCTAGTACATCTGTCTCACTCCGTCCTGAGACCTCTAGTACATCTGTCTCACTCCGTCCTGAGACCTCTAGTACATCTGTCTCACTCCGTCCTGAGACCTCTAGTACATCTGTCTCACTCCGTCCTGAGACCTCTAGTACATCTGTCTCACTCCGTCCTGAGACCTCTAGTACATCTGTCTCACTCAATCCAGGAACCTGTCCTGTGGAGCGCCTCTGAAGTTCCTCAAGTTTCCTCTCCTGACTCTTTACTTGGAGCTGAGAGCCGAGGCTACACTCTCTTAGAGTGTTGGTGCGTGTGTCCACCTGTCTGTCACTGCAGGGTCCAGCTCTCAGCTCTTGGACCCCACTTTTGTAACCCTCAGTTATCTAATGTACCGGTTTTATATTTTATCAATAATATAAACTATATATATATTGCTCTCTCTCTGTCTCTGTCTCTCTGTCTGTCTGTCTGTCTCTCTCTCTCTCTCTCTCTCTCTCTTCTCAATGTCGCTTCTTTCCAATCATTCTTCACTTCCCCTTCTTATTCTTCCCTGACCCCTGACCCCTGACCCCCTCACGCTCGCTCTCCCCTGACCTTCCCTCTCCCCCCTACCCCTCTCTCTCCCACACTCCCCTCCCACACCCCCACCCCTCTCCCACACCCCCACACACCCCCTTACACCCCACACACCCCCACACCCCCTCTTACACCCCACACACCCCCTCCACCCCCTCCTACACCCCCACACCCCCCCTCCACACCCCCACACCCCACACCCCACCTGGCCCCAACAGGAGCGACCAGTCCCTCTGGGTACACACACACTAACCACAAGTGATCTAAATTCCAAGTAACATGACACTAGGATGAAGAGATATGCGAAAGGGGAAGAGGAAGACCAAACGAAGGAGGAGAAGGAGGAGGACGAGAGGTGTGATAAAAGGAGGAGGAGGAAGATCATGATAAAGAAGAGAAGATGATAGTCCAAGAGAACGCTGGACACTTACAAACCGCTAAATGATATGATAGTGACAATCTCTTCTTTCCTTTGTTATCTCTTTACTCTCCTCCTGTCTTCCTTCCCTCCTCTCCTGTATCCCCTCTACACCCCTCCTTCCGCCCCCCTGTCCACGTCGTCCGCCCCCCCCCCCCGTCCCTCTGGATGAATGACAGGTGTCGGGTGGCGGCCAGGTGAGGGAATGTACCCGAGTCTCCCCACAAAGTTAATGTTACCGACGACTTCCGTTTTTTGTTGCTGTCTGAGACCTGGAGGACCAGCACTGACCTGACCTTCTTAGTGGTTGTTGAGGGCTGTTGTTAGTGTGGTTGTTGAGGGTGGTTGTTAACACCACACAACACAACAACACAACACCACAACACCACACCAGTGAAGGCAGTGCCTCAGTGGTGAACCTGAGACGGCCCACATGAACCCCACAGTCAGGTGGTCGATGTCTCTGGCTTGCTTGAGGTCGATCCGGTGTCCGGAACCAACCTGAGAGCCACTCCAACTGTTGCTCCACTCCTCTCTTGATGGGCAGACTCACTCACTCACTCACTCACTCACTCACTCACTCACTCACTCTCTTTGAAGTGAACTTTGATCGTCAGGTGCCGTCAGTGAAACACAGGACGTCCGGACATAAGGGAACTATGATCCGAGCAGTTAGCGTGGGTCTCAAAACTGGGTTTGAGTAATGAGAGGAGCCGAGCGTGCAGCTGGCACACTCACTGGTTGCTCCGGTGCATGGTTGTTTATGCATGTTTGTCCTTGATGTAAAACTGGATTAAATTTGATGTTGCTCTACTCTCTCGGGGTCAATGTCGCTTCTTTCCAATCATTCTTCTCTTCAATCAACTACTTTTTCGGGGTTGAATATCGTATCTACTTGTACACACACGCGTGCGCTCACACTCACACGCACATACACACACGCACGCACAAGCACACACACAACACTGGAGGGACATTTTCACCTTGGACATAGTCAGAAAATTAGTACCCAAATGAGCCACAGGGACGTTAGAAACAACTTTTTCAGTGTCAGAGTAGTTAACAGGTGGAATGCATTAGGCAGTGATGTGGTGGAGGCTGACTCCATACACAGTTTCAAATGTAGATATGATAGAGCCCAGTAGGCTCAGGAACCTGTACACCAGTTGATTGACGGTTGAGAGGCGGGACCAAAGAGCCAGAGCTCAACCCACACCACCACACCTGTGACACTACAGGTCAGCCCTCCCCCACCCCCCATCTAGGGGGGAGGGGGGTAACAGCCCCACGGAACAAAAACGCACATAATACAGTGAATCAAATTAGTGAACCATTGTGCCAACTCACTCAGGCGGTCGCTGACCAGAAATTGATTCCCAGAAGTTGGGCGTCGAATTGAATATGTCCATTTTTTTTCCTTCATGGTTTTCCAGGGGTATTTTTCAAACCTATTTTGAATATTTTTTTGGGCCCGGTTTTTTGGGGGAGTTTCTTAAGTGCTGATGAGGCGTGTCATGTGCCCTTCTTCCCCGGAGGTGCGAGAGATCTCAACACAAGAGACTGAAGACATTAGCAAGGAGAAACAGGATTTTTTTTCCCGCAGGATGACCTGAAGCTTAGAAAAGGGACAGTGTTCGGGTGACAGGATGATCAAGGACGGGGGTCCAGTGCCCATTCCCGTCCACTTGTGTGTTAGGGGGACACCCAGGGGGTGTAGGGGACACCCAGGGGGTGTAGGGGACACCCAGGGGGTGTAGGGGGACACCCAGGGGGTGTAGGGGACACCCAGGGGGTGTAGGGGACACCCAGGGGGTGTAGGGGGACACCCCAGGGGGTGTAGGGGACACCCAAGGGGGTGTAGGGGACACCCAAGGTATAGAGAAAATGAACATCGAGAGGTGTAAGGGAGGTGGACACCCTGGGGTGCAAGGTACCAAGGGTGCTGGATGACCTCTTCACGTGTCACTCAGCCGGACAAGGCTGAGGGCACTCTGACTAGGCCCTCAGAAAGTCTCGGATAGTGAAGAGATCAAGCAACTAGTTTTCAAAACTCTACCCTCTCTCTCTCTCTCTCTCTCTCCCTCTCCCTCTCTCTCTCTCTCCTTCTCAAGAGAGAACACCTTTGATGTCTCCATCCCAGGAGGACGACCGTGAACTCCAGAAGCGAGAGAGGACGCGACTCTCAGCTCCGAACACCGCCCTGTCATCGACGCGTCAAGCACGAACTCATTTTTAATCCGACCGGACACCAGCTGAGCCCAAACTGTTCAGTAATGGTTCGAAGCTCTTCAATCGGGGGCAGAAAAATGTTAAGCCCGAGGCTGTGTTTATCAACATGCAAAAACTGTTAAATTAGGCCGATAATGGTGTGAAAACTGCCCACTGAGGGTGAGAAATTGCTTAGTTATGTCTGGCCTTCTCACGGCCCTCGCCTGCCTGTGG